ATACTTACAACACTTAAGTTCACAGTAGAAGGCTATGAAATTGTTAACAGTAGTACCCTATGTACTGCAGTTAATTTTATGCACTTATTAAATATTGCATCTTTAGGTGTGTTTACATGTCTCCCAACTGCAGATGGTATCATGTGTGGTCTGTACGAATTTTGTGTATGTTTTGAGAAAATTTAACTTTTCATAATAAATCTGTGTATATTTTATGGTAGTAAATGGTACAATAGACTAGTATATGCATATATTTTATGCATTTGTGACATACCTAACTTTTTCTTAGGATATATATAGATATATATATATATATTTCTAGGCTACACAATTCATCTGTGAGTTTTTTCAAACCATCTCAAATCTCTAAAAAAATTTTTGATATAGTTATTGAAACAATCCACATAAGTAGACCCGTGCAGTTCAAGGGTAAATTGTAATTTCTTCACAAATTGTGAGAAAGACTAGAAATCTGAAGAAAAAAATCTGCAACCTTTGTCACTGGAATATTACACCACTGAAGTTTTTCTTTTGTTTGGTTTTTTAAAAATGTTTCATTCTCTTTCTAAGGCACACTTTTCATTTTCTAGAAGTTATTTTTCCCGGAAAAATAAATCCACCCTCAAATAATATTTTAAAAACATAAGGATTGGCTAGTGAACTTCCCGGAATGACGGGACACAGAAGCACTAAGAACACTTGCCACCTAAATTTGAGCTTGCAGTTACGTTTTAAAATTCCACAAACTAAGTAAATAAATAAATTAAGTAAAACAAACAAAACGAAAACCTTCGATTGGCCATAACGCCGCCGCCTGTGGGCCTGCCAAGCCTCACGTCTAAAGCGGGCTCCTCTCAGCCCGCAAAGGTCCCCGCGCGGCGGGCGCCGCTCCTTACCTTTCTCGCTGACGCTCTCGCTCTCCAGCTCCACGTCCTCGCAGCTGGTGTACTCCGGCGTCGACACGCCCTCCTCCTCAGAGCTGCTCACCGACATCTGCCGCTTCTTGCCGCCCCTCTTCGACCGGTGCGGCTTGGGAGGGGACGGCCGCACGGACTCGGACTGGTCCGAGCTCAGCGAGTCGTTCCGCAGCATGGTCTCCACCTTCTCGCGCTTGGCCTTCCGGATGAGGACGGCCGAGCTGGGGTCCAGGCGGCTCTGCTTCCTGAGGGGCTCCTGGGTTTTGAGCTCTGGGGCTTCTGCGGGGGCCGGCCCGTGCCTGGGCGCCGGCGGGCTGTGGTTCGTCAGCGGCTTGGCGCCCAGCGGCGCCCTGGCCTCCGCAGTCCTCTCGGCCGAGTAGGCCCGCGGCGAGTCCGGCGGCGAGGCCCTGGGGGCGGCGGCCGGCGCGCGCTTGCCGCCCTTGGCCTCGGGCGGCGGCGCGGCGCCCGCCTCGGTGCGCGGGAGCGCCACGTCGCTGTGGCGCCGCTCGTGCCTCGCGCGGGACACCCGGGCGTGCATCCGCATCTGCTGCTCCTCGGGCGGCGGTTTCACCGGGTACCGCGCCAGGTTCGGGTCGCTGCGGTACCTGGTCTGGTATTCCTCCTCTTTCCTTTGCTTCTCCTCATCCGCCTCTTTGCCCTCATCTCGTTTCTCAGGCACGTCGGAGTAATCCTGTGACCGGCCCTTTTCAAGCCTTCGGGTTTCCCGCCTTTCTTTCCGCTCCCTTTCTTCCGCAGCCCCCTCCCCGGGCTGCACCGTCTTTGGCACGCGTTTCCGCTCGCCCTTCAGGGCTCCTTTGCCGTTCTGCTCAGAAAGCCCTGGAGTCTTCTTTCTGCGGGGCGTCAAGGAGGAGAGCAATTTACAAAACTTAAAAGCCAGGCCTAAGAAACACTTAATTTTTCTTCCTTCTCGTTCCAGTCTTAAATCATTTCGATTGCAGTTATTTCTTACAATTCGATGTCAAATTAATAATCAAGATTGTAAAGAACCACATTAAATCTGTACATCGGGTTAGATTTTTAAATGCAGCTCAGCTCCCTTGCATCGCAATATATTTAGGGACGTAAAACATTGGTTTCACATGTTAAATTTTCCATAAATTAACGAGATGAATTTTAAAAGTCAATAATTCAATAAATGAAAAAGTTTTGTGCTAACCACTGCTTGTGACTTAAAGACTTAAACATGTTTTAGATAAAAATAATATAAATGTTAATAATACAGGAGCAAAAGATAATATATACTTATCACTTCAAAACTAAATACATAGTAGATATATATTTGGATAATATGTAGACAATCTTTCATTATAACTGAAATGTTTACAGAAATGTGAATACAAATGTGTCCATTTCAGAAATCAAATCTAATAGCACTTCTTTGATAGAACTAAAGTAATTTTAATTGAAAAGGTGCACCACCAAAGCACTTTTTACGGAGTTGACTAGGACCATAGCTTTCATTTTACCTTCCTCAGGTAAAAATAACAGAAATATTAAAATTTTTGGAATTGTTATTCATTCTCCCTCACTTCTCCCTTCTCCCTCTTCCTTCTTGCAGGATACAGTCCAAAAGAAGAAAACAATTTTGAGTTCTACTTTTCTTTCCATGCTATTAAAGGCATTAGCAAAGATAAAAGGAAAAGAAAGGGTGTGGCTATCTCTGAATCCTGTAGATGTATCATTCAGTTATTCCTTTCAGTCCTCTGCACAATTGAGTGCACCTGATTTTGGAAAGTTCCAGCAATTATACCAGAAGTTACAAAAAGTAGGTGCCTTGACTAAATGTTCTGATGCTGTCTGATCTAGTGTGTAATTAAAATGGAGGCAGGCTAGGGCTGTTTTTGGAATCCTAGGGTCACAGAGAGGGCTCTCCAGAGGTGACATCATTTGATTGGAAGTCCAAAATTAGATGTCATGAATGAAAATCAAGAAAAAGATACAAGATGGGGAAAAGTAGTATAGTTTCTGTTGTGGGTTACCAAAGTAGCAGTTGCTAAGATACATTGTGGGATGAGTTTGAGGAGAGGCTGGTGATGATAAAGAGAAAGGGTGTAGAGGGTTTCAAATGGCACAGGAAAACAAAACAGAACCATGGTAAATTCTGCTTGAGACATTGAGATCACATTGGCCCTTTGAAATAAAAGGGATTCTGATCTAAAAGTGGAACTGCAAGGGTGCTAATGCAATTTTACAATGTAAGGGATTTGATATGAACATGTATTAATCACTATCAAATATAGTTTTCATAAGAGTGTGATGACTGTATTACAAACATTTAGTAGCTCATTAGGCATAGTTGCTTTTGTTAGAAGTTTATATTGAGTCAATTTACTTTTCTTGAAATGCTGATAAATAATGCTTACCTTGCAGAGTTCATGTGAGGATTAAAGGAGACACTATCTGTGAAGATGCTTTTTGAAAGGATAGGGTATTATGCAAATGGAAGGAGTTCTCCACTTTCTCTGATTCTTGCTCTACTAATTATACTTTTTCTCACCTCTACTTTTAATTGTTTTGTTTCCACTAGGTCCTGATCAGTGTACAAAATAATTCTTCAATAATTTAAAATGAACAGACTTCTTATTCTTTCAATCTTGCTTCTCCCTGAAGTTGCCCAACCCTTTACTACCACTCACCTCTCCTCCTGCTCTTATATTCCCCAATTCCTCTTACTTTCCTATGTATCTATATCATTAGTAAAGGTATTTCCCCTAGCAATCTTCTTCAAATTTCAACTAAAAAGTCAAAACAAAAGTCTCTATTCAGTCCTCATTCTTGACATTTTTGTAGTTTTTTACCATATGTCAAAAACAGAACTCTTTAGAAACTTTACAGCCCCAAATTCTCTATCTTATTTAAAGATACCATCTTTTTATCCATTCCCAAACTGAACCTTTAATATGTTTTGTCTCTACCCCACACACAACAGTTTTTCACCAAAATCTATTAATTCTACCTTCACTGAGTTTTCTCTGGTATCCTTTCTATCTTCTCTTCAAATAGTTTAGGCACACTTGTTCTCTCTTCCTGTGATGTCCTCTTCTACTCTACCTCCTCTACAATTCCTGAATATCTAATAAAGCTTAATTCAGAAGTCACTTCCTATTTCCTGGAACTCCCCAAAGTACCCTAATGTATTTTCTAGCTTTGATCAAATCAGCATCTGGGTTACTTGCCTAGGTGTCTGTCTTCCCTAGGATATTGTGTGGTCTCTTCCCTAGGATGTCTCAGAAAAGGGACCATGTCCTAATCATCTTTATATGCTTTGGTTCCTGGCACAGTGTTTACTTACAGTAAATACACAATGATTACTGATTTGAATGATAGCTACATTCATCGAATGCCTACTATGTGCCAGCTTGTGAACACAAGTTCTCCTTAAATACCTCCTATACCCTGAAAGGTGAGTTATTACTTACTATTGTGACAGAGCCAAGACTAGAATCCAGACTTGTTTAACTCTGAAGTCCTTGATCTCATTATATGGGCTTTGTGTGAAAAGGGGATCAAAAGCCTTCCTAAGAGCTTCCTCTCCCACCCAGTGGGATGAATAAGGATTACACAGGCAAAAGCAACCAAGATGACTTCAGGTCCTAACAACAGTCAAGTGTCCCATACCATGAGCCTCATGAAGACCAGGGCTGTGTCCTCCTTGTTAACACTACTTCCTACTGCATAGTGTCATGTCTGGCCATAAATATGTTTTTGGAATGAATGAATCATGAATTGAAGTATTAACCCCTGTTTCAATCTTCTGTAGCTTTCCATTATGCCTGTAATAAAATCTGCAAAGCTTAACCCGTCCCCTCACTACCTCACCAGCCTTCTGTGCCCCACTTTCCCTCTGCCACTTGCACTCTAGCCAATGGCTATCCTTTAAGAGGTCCTCACACTGGGCTTGTTCCTTCAGGCCACATGCCTGTGCACCCTGGAGCACTCTTTCCACCCTGCTGGTTAATTCCTGTACACTCTTCAGAGCTCAGCATAAAAGAAATGTCCTAAAAGAAGGCTTCTCTGATGTGCCCACACACCCTCAAATAGGTCAGGTTCCTCCTCCATTTTCTCTCAGAGCATGCTTTTAATTAAAAAACTAGTTCTTTAAAGGAAAAATGATCTAAGAGCTTTTCTGAGTTCAAGGTTGGAAGTCAGTAGCTCAATCAGGTGACTTAGCTTATGTTACGTAAGCATGTAACATATGCCTGATGTGAAAGAAAAGCTTTCTAACAAAGGTCTCCTAAGGAACACCTTCTAAAGATAGACCAAGAACCTCTGGCTTATTGTCTTCCATGTGAGGCCTCAGAAGTACTCCTTCCACATATTCCTCTTAATAGAAGTTAAATTCTTGAAAATGGGTTTGCTGTCAAAGCAAAACCTGGCCATTCTTGAAAATGGGTTTGCTCTCAAAGCAAAACCTGGCCTTTCGCTTACAGGGTTAATGAACCATTACCTCTCTCTCGGAGGTTCACTTCTAGACCTTGATGAAGCTTGCTTCTGCTCAGGCCCCACGGCTTGCTGTGAGGGTTCAACCCCTTTGCTCCTGTCTGGTGGGGCGCTCGGAGGAGCAGTGTCCTGGGAGGAGGCAGCTGCCGTGCTCAGGGGTGTCTGAGACCTCGATCGCTCTTGGAGTCGTGCCTTCTTTTCTCTTGGTACCTCAGACCCAGTGCCTGTAGCTGTATCACTCAGGGTTCCATCCTGACTTGGCTGCTGAGGGCCACTTCCAAAGAACCACGCCCCGGATTTGGTTAAGATTTCTTGTTGCTTTCGACATAAATTGCATACCCACATAACCTATTTGAAGAAGAGAGAACAATATAAATTTTCTATGCTATTTGGAAATAATTTATTTCCAATACTTAAAATATCTTTAAGAAAACAAAAAAATGCTCTTCATCTTCATATTTTTCCTTGACTATTTCTTGTGAAAATGGTCCTCCCACAAGTCACGGTCAAGTATTTGAATGCTTGGACTGGGACCCATTTGAAACCAGAGTTCCTCTGGTTTCATTTCTAATTTGACAATTCTGAGTTCCCTTCATCATGTATCTGTAATATTTTCTATAATTGACGCTGAAGTTTTATTTAAAATATTAGTTAGTGAAAAATGTCCTAAGCAGGGTAATTGATTAGAAAAATGTTACAAGGAGCTATAGAATTAATATTTATGTACATAAACCTGAGTATCTCAAAGGATTTAATAGATGCCTGTCTTCTTAATAATCATCCCACTATTAAAGTCAATATCAAAATATTCATGTGGAACAAACAAACAAAAATAATAGGCTCATAATTAAAAAAACTATATATATTCTCTAGTTTCTTAGTAATAAACAAAGCTCAAGAGTATTTTATGCTCTAAAATATATTTACTAAAGCAATACATCTGAGGTTGGGTTTATTCATATGTGACCATACTCCAGTGTAATGTTTCCCTAGGAGAGTTATTTTGGAACTGTCATTTAGAAACATATCCATTGATAAATTATAAGATGTGTCATCACTTAAACTTACCTATCTGCCCTCCTCTTGATGACATTTAAAATGAATGGGATCATGAGATGATGATCATAATAAAAATAAGGAATAATAGTAATAACATCTAGCTGTCATTGGGCAAAGACAGGTGCCAGCAGCCTCATGAGCCTTCTCATAAAATATCCTCATTATCTCTGCTTCTTTGTGCTGTGACTTTACCTCACTGCCTTAGTTTCTTTGCCCTGAATTTCTCTGACTGTACTTCATGATTTTTATGTTTTATTTTTTGTGCTTCAGAAACAGCATTCACAGGAAAAGTTAATTACCAAATTCTAGGCCCTCATTTTCACAATAATGACTCAATCAACAAATACTCAAAAATATTACATAAGGATGAATAAATCTTAGATATATTAAGAGCAAAGCCATAGGAGAGAGTAAAAACAGCAAAACAGCATTTAGTAGGCCAAAAGAAGAAAATGTACTACTGAAAACATTCATGTGTGTATGGAAGAAACTATAACTGTAGCCATGGAATAAGAAAAGTAAAAGCTAAAATGTGAATAAGAAAAAGAGGGAGGAAATTAATACATTTTTTAAAGGAAAATATTGTAGATGAACTGTTAAGAACTGCTTTCCAAGCAAGAAAACTCAAATGAATTAATAATATGGGGAAAAAAACTAAGATTTAACAGAAATATTTGCTATAGAAAATGTAAGGCTGGGTGCAGTGGCTCATGCCTGTAATCCTATCACTATTGGAGGCTGAGGCGGGCGGATCATTTGAGCTCAGGAGTTGGAGACCAGCCTGAGCAAGAGCGAGACCCTGTCTCTACCAAAAATAGAAAAAATTAGCAGGGCATAGTGGCACATGCCTGTAGTCCCAAATACTTGAGAGCCTGAAGCAGAAGTATTGCTTGAACCCAGGAGTTTGAGGTTGCTGTAAGCTAGGCTGATGCCAGGGCACTCTAGCCAGGGCAACAGAGTAAGACTCTGTATCAAAAAAAAAAAGAAAAGAAAAATTAAGATTGATGAGCGTTAATCCATCCCATTAAGCTTCCCAGGTCATAAAATAAAGTGGATGAGGTTCACAAAAGAAATTATATGTAGCATCTGCATGAAGTATTATAATAAATATCACAGAATTCACATTTACTCAGATATTGAACAAAATGAACAGCATGAGCCTTTATCAAAATAGTTTATGAAATGTAACTTCTATTTGAAGTGCCAAATAAGGCTATATTTTGCAGAATGTATCACCCTCTCTTTGACTGCATAAATAAAGCCCCTCAGAAGTCCTGATTGCTTGAACATATCAAGGATAGCACTAAAAGATGCACTATTCCAAGGTGAGGACTCTTTCATGAACAATGACACTGGATCTCCTCTATCCAGAACCCTGGGCGGGGACATGGGATGCATTTCCTTTTTAATTGCTTCTTTAGCTGACAAAATAGTGATAAGAAGGTCTCAAATCATGTAGTTCACGAAGAGTGGTATGAAATTGTTTTACAACTAAGTAGACATTAAATTTGTATTTCTGACCAGGTGTGATTGCTCACACTTGTAATCACAGCACTTTGGGAGACCAAGGTGGGAGTATCACTTGAGCAAAGGAGTTCAAGACCAGCCTGAGCAACATAGCAAGACCCCATCTCTATAAAATACTTAAAAATTAGTGGGGCATGGTGGCACACGCCTATAGGCCCAGCTACTTGGGAGGCTGAAACAGAAGAGAGGACTGCTCCAGCTCAGGAGTTTGAGGGTGCAATGAGCTGTGATTTTGCCACTGCATTCCAGCCTCAAAGACAGACTGTCCTCCCCCAAAATAAAATAAAAATGTATATTTTTTAAACTAATAATAAGCAAATTATTGCTCATCATCAAAAGTAGATCCTTTTCTACAAAGATATCAAGACATATTTAAGATAAATATGCATTTTCTTTAAAACAACAGAGGAATACAATAAAATTTACAATTATTAGAAAGTTTCCAAAATTGAATTAAGCTCCATAAAGAGGCAGAAAGGAGCATAATACAGATAGGAAGAAGGATAATATTGTTCCTTGTACATCTGAATATTTTCTAGAAGATTGTTATCGCAATCTTATTTTAATTGCTTCACATTTTTAAGTGTTATAAAAATGGGTCAGTGAAAACTAATGCCAGATTTGGGCAAGTTCCAAATGTTGAATGTGTGCAGAATTGCTACATAAACAATAAAAGCAAATAAAATATATTATTATTAATTAAAGTTAAGTTTTATAATTAATTTAATTTCCAATTTATTCAAAAAGTTACAATAGGCTAAGTAAAAGCAGCAAAGGTACTTTAAATGATATTTTTTAAATACTGTTTATTCATTTGTTAGTGATGCTTCATTAATTTTGTCTATTTTTAACATTTAGGAAAAATAATGCCAAACTTTTTCTATATCTTATTTCCTTGTGTACCACAAAATTTTAAAATTTTATTTTTAAAATTAACTATAAGTGTGGTCAATCTATCCTCCAAATTAAAAACAAAATTAATTATAAAAATGTTAAAATATTTATTTTTATTAAAATATCACCTCTCCATCTCTATTTTAATAATATGAATTATTCATACTATGACATTTACCACTAAAAAAGAAATTGCTTATATGAGTTATAAAGTAAAGAAAAATTTGAGAGATAGCAATAGAATATTGTCATACATTTCAACACTTTCTGCCAAACATTACAGACATGTACAAAAATGAGCCAAATACTAAGAAACAACACAGTTATGTTTAAGATTCTCTTCTTGAACTTAGTATTAAGTATTATATTTGCCTGAAGCTATAGATAATCTAAAAGTTGTGTGGGAAAATTTTTCAACAGATTCTTTAAAAAAGAATAAGGTATAACTTTGTCCACAAAAAAAAACGCTATTTATTTAAAACACACAAACACACTTGTATTAGCAGGATTATACCCTGATTAAATACCCTGGGATGTGTTCTAAACTAATCTAAACTAAAGAAGATGTATGCAATAACTTATCTTAACAATTCACAGATGTTAAGCAATCAAATACAAACTCGAATGAAAGACTATTGTGATGTTACCTGACTTCTGAAACTCCATGCCATACATCAGAAAAATGAAGAGCAACTTAAAGTTGTATTTTGACCTTTTGCTGTAATAGCACTTTTAATTCTGTCTTTTCCACTTAATTCTTAAGCAATACAGTAAGCTATTTTATAAAACCCACAGGAATTGTTTACCCAGAGAAATAAAAAATGACAACACTCCTACTGTATATATATGGGTGTGTGTGTGTGTATATATAGAATTCCATAGATAAAACCATGAGTTTGGCAGGAAAGAGAAATGGTATTCAGGTGTGAGAAATACTTTGCACTTGCCCTCACATGAAATGTTTAAAGATCCAGACACACAAAGCAAAATAAATGTGCCTGAGATTTACTTTTGATGATATTACTATGGTGATTCATGATAAGGTCGAAAATTCTTATATTAACACAAATGTCTTACTAATGGAAATCCATCTGAAGTATTTACTATTATAACATAAAGAATAAATATAAGCATGAAGATATAAAAAGGCAAAAGATGTTGTGATTAAATTGTCATTCTACATTTTTACAGATAAACTTAGAGACTTATTTTCATTTAATATAGTATATTTTTAAAAATTATTATAGTACCATCAAAAGATTATTATACTACGAGCTTGGAAACCATGAAAAAGAAGACCGGAAACCTTAGAGTTGCTACATTTTCTGAATACTCTTTCTTTACTAATTTTCCTTACGTTATTTGAGGAAACACTCACTCCAGCAGAAACTGGGAACAATATTATCCAAGTAATATTTCAACTTTGTTGAAAAAAAGTACATGAGATAGTAGAAAATAGTAGATGACAGAATAGATGAGAATGAGTTCTCTTTAGTTCTTATGTGTGTATGTGTCTCTGTGTGTGCATGTCTCCTAATCTTGTATTGTTACTGTGCTATTTCATAGGTTTATTTTTTCCCTTTGGAAGTTTATAAAATGCATTATGTGGATTTATGACAGATAAAATATGGTATACAATGTTTCTTTTACTTGTCCACTATTAGCATTTTAGTTGAATTTTCTATGCAAATTTAAAAGAACTGAGATTCCACTGTAACTTTTGTACTCTACTTGTATATTCAATATTATAGTATAAGTAATTCTATGTGATTCTAAATGTTTCTACAACATTTTAATATCAAAGATATTCTATAGAGATGGCATATCATTTACAGAACTCTTAAACTGCTTACAGTCTTTAACATTAA